GCCACTTAGATTTCTCCCGATCGAAATCAAATCGATCATGTTGTGATAGACGGAAGGCATTCATCCAGTATTTTAGACGTCCGATCGATCCGAGGAGCGAATATCGATTCGGGCCACTACCTTGTAGCAGCCAAGGTTCGCACTCGTCTTAATGTTACAGCAAAGATGTGATCTAACACAACACGGAAACACGACGTCGACAAGCTGCAAACACAACAGGTAGCCGAGGCCTACTCCGCTTAACTTACCCACCAGCTTGACGAAAACACTTCTTGTCCCGATAATAGTATAGAAGCATAATGGCAAAGAATTGCCCACTCCCTACAAACTGCAGCAATAAACAACACCTGAGTACCAAAAACCACCATCAAGAAATCCATGGTACCATCAGGGGTGTCGTAATGCTACTGATGTGAAAAACGCAACGTATATGGCAACCCTGCAGACAGTAGCAACACGTAATGCGATGGATAATTATCGGGAGAAAAGGCGAGAGGAGAAACGTATTTTCAGAAAAAAGAAGAAAGAACAAGAAAAACTTGAGCGTGAGCAAATCGAGATGTACCGGAGTCAGCATGAAGTCCGGAAATTTTACCAACGAGTAAAACACTAAACCGAAGGCTTTGGTGCAGGCATATCCTCCTGTAGGGGTGAAGAAGGAAACCTGGTGACAAATACAGACAGCGTGCTGAGGATCTGGAAGGAGCATTTTGAAAAACTTCTGGTATCATATAGTAGCGGTGAAGAGGATGTCGCAGAACCAATAATATAGATGACGGTATAGAGTGTATACCAACTAGTTAAGATGAGGTCAGAACAGCAATCAATCGGCTGAAGAATAATAAAGCAGCAGGTGACGATGGGTTGCGAGATGAACTATTCAAGACTTGTGGTCAGATGCTGGTAAGGAGCATGCACCAGCTTATTAGTACAATTTGACTAGAAGAATGCATGCCCAACGATTGGAACTTCAGCATCCTGTGTCCCGTGCACAAAAAAGGAGACAAGACGATATGTGCCAACTATAGAGGAATAAGACTCCTTCCCATCGCATATAAAGTGCTATCCAGTGTGCTGTGTGAACGATTGAAGCCAATGGTCAATGACATTATTGGACCATACCAATGCGGCTTCAGACCTGGCACATCCACTATTGACCAGATTTTCACTCTGCACCAAATCCTGGAAAAACCCCATGAAAAACACATCGACACATTCCACCTATTCGTCGACTTTAAAGCCGCATTCGACAGCCCTATCTGTTTAATGCCATGTCTGTGTTTGGCATTCCTGCAAAATTAATATGGCTATGCAGGATAACATTAACTGGCACAAGATCAGCAGTTAAAGTCGGAAAGGATCTCTACGGGCCCTTTAATACCGAACGAGGATTCAGACAAGGTGACAGTTTGTCGTGTAATCTTTTTAACATCCTGCTGGAAAAGGTCATGCGAGAGGCAAAGGTGAACAGAAATGGCGCTCTGTATACCAAACAACACCAATTACTCGCCTACGCCGATGACATCGACATAATGGGTCGAACATTGCGAGTGGTAACAGCCACCTTGGAACCAATTGAGAAGGAGTCTGCCAAAGTGGATCTGGCAGTAAATGCCGAGAAGACAAAGCTGATGGTATCAACGCGCAAGACGTCCAGTAGACTTGGACCAACTGTGGAACTTGACAACAGCGTCGTGGTAGTCAAAGATTTTATATACCTTGGTACCGCCCTAAATAAAACGAATGACATCAGTATTGAAATTCGGAGAAGAATAGTGTTGGCCAACAGATTCCACTATGGTCTGTGTAAGCAACTCAAAAACAAGGCCACCTCCCGCCAGACCTAACTCACACTCTACAAGACGCTGATACTCGTGCTATTATATGGATCTGAAGCATGGGTACTTACGCAAGCAGATGAGGCAGCTCTTGGAGTGTTTGAGAGAAAAATTCTCCAAAAGATCTATGGGCCAATCGGTGTTGACGGTGAATATCGCCGTCGAATGAACCATGAGCTGTACCAGCTATTCTCGGACATCGGTATTGTTAGACGTATTGAGCTGCAGCTACTACGTTGGCTATTTCATGTTGTTAGAATGGATTAAGATGCCTCAGCCCAAAAGGCATATAAAAACTCACGGCTCACGCAGAAGGGGAAGGCCACGAATAAGATGGAAAGATCAAGTGGAAGACAACATTGCCGAGTATGATCTTCCAAACTGGAAAAATTGCGCAAAAGACAGACGCGACTGGAAATCTGTTTTAAGCTCGGCTTATAGAACGAAAGTTCTGTCACAAGCCAGCTAAGTAGTAAGTAAAGTATTAATCTTATAAGGTGACTTATAATAAAATTCGATGTAAAATATTTTTTTCATTGACACTAGTTTTCTATAGTGAAGTTTTAAGGTAGAAATTGGCCACAATAAAAAACCAGTGAGCGGAGCAGTATAGTCGGACGGGGCCGACCATATGATAACCTACACAACTTCCACAAAAATCTAACTTTGTGTGGTTCTATATTCTGATCTTGGGCAATATTTGCACTCTCTTGACTTCCACCGTGGATTGTGTTGTTATGTTCGGATTTCATGTGGCCTATAGAATGGCGCGAAAAAAACCAAAAAAAAAAAAAAAAAAAATAAGTTTTCGGTCCACTTCATCCCAATATTTTTATCTGATCATCACCGAAAATTAGAGGAGTTGTCCTCAAAGCGATCAGCGCTATATTTTCGCCTTCTAGAGTGGTAATGGTTTACTAAATAATATTTGAATACGTAAGCACCTGTAAATATTTACGTGTAACTCCCACATCCGAGTACATACGACAATGTAATTGGTATCAATTTGAAGGCCAACCACTCCTATTGGATATATTTTCAACTTCTTTGGTCTCTGTCATTCAGGGGTAGATATATACGCTACAGAATACAAATTTTGTAATTTTTCACACAAAAGTCAGGGTCCATTTGACCCGCTAAATATTGACCGATCTTTATCAAAAGAGGCATGTTTGGGCCATAATTGCGGCCTCTGGAGCGACCAGAAAATCAGACAAAATTAAGTTTTTGGTCCATTTCACCCACTAAATATTAACCGATCTTTACCAAAAACTATAGGGGTCTTCATTGGCCAGATCCCATCGTACATGCAAAATTTCGTGAAGATTGGTCCATAACTGTGGCCTGTATCGTGTTTAAGTTATAATGGACAGACAGACGGACGAACGGACGGACACACATGACGATCGGTATACTTAAAGTTGGGTCTAGGACCAATATTTCGCGGCGTTACAAACTCTTGGGACTGCACAAAGCTATAATACCCTGACAACATAGTTGTGAAGGGCGTAATGACAACTTAAGTGAAGTTTTTTTGTGGATTTCCGTATCCAAATATTATTTTCTATATAAACAAATAGATAAATTGAAATAAATCTGAAAATCCCTCTTTAAGAAGTCTTAAAATTTTCTTTTCATTTTCATATTCATTTTTCATCATTTAAACTGAATATAAATTTTAAAATTATAAAAATAAGGCTTCTGTATACAAGAATTAATCCGAACGAACTACCCACACATCTTCCAGTTAGCAAATATACAATTTGTGAGAATTTCTACAGCTGGCATATTTTTGTGTGTAAATATAACTTATGTAAATTATTCAAATCGAAAAATTAAATGAAAATTCAATTTTCCTAGTTTTGGGAAATGCATAATTTATAAGATTTTCCAAGGCACGCACACACACAAAGGCAAACTGCAGACCATCCCTGGATTTTTTTTACTATTGGCAATGCCAAAAAAGGGCTAATTTTCAATCAAAATCTCAAACACGTTTTGTAGCCGTTAAAGAAATAAAAATAAACTTTTTTGGAGTTATTTTTTTGATTAATAAAAAAAACTTTTTTTTTTGAATTTTGAAAATTTAAATTTTTACTGAAATTCATGGTGGAAGCTAAATTTTATAAAATTATTTTTTTTTGGTTTATTTATTTAGGGGCAAATTAAAATATATGGAGCAGCAGCAGCAGTAGGGCGGGTTTTTAGCAGGATAGGTGTAAGAGCCAAAAAATATATAAAGAAAAAAGAGAGCAAAAAAGAGAAGAGATGAATTTTTGTTTTTTCAAACCAATCAATGGAAAATTATTCAAATTTTCTTTTTTCATGTATTCCTATTACATAACGATTCAAAAGTGATGTGTATTGAATTGGGGCTGTGCAAAGGAAGGATGGGGGATGGGGTGGCAGGAAAATAAGGCATAGAAATAAGAAACAGAAATCACTTAACACAATGGTCTAAAGGAGATACGGAAATGGGAGTAACGGAAAAGAGGAAATTGAAATGAATAAAAATATATAATTTATTCTGGTTTTTTGTCTAGATAAAAAAAAAACTAGCCTAACTTATAAAGTTTTTTTCCCTATTGGTATTTCCTTTTATTTTATTTTTTCTTTTCAATATATAATGGGATTTAAGGATAATTTGGGATCAGATTTACTTGGATATAAAATGAATTGAGAAAAATGATGAGAATTTCGTTGTTGTTTGTTTGCTAAATAAAAAATGTAATTGTGTTGTATGTATGTGTTGTGTACCTAATTTTATATGTATGTATAATGAATGTATGTATGTGTGATGGAAATGTAAATATATATAAAAATTAAAAAAATATATATATAATCCCTATGAATGTTTTTGTTGTTGTTGTATTTGTACTCAAAAAAATCTATATTTATGTTTAGAAGACTTTTTGTTTGTCATAAAATAAATAAATTCGAAAAAAAATCAAATTAAAACAATTTAGCAGTAATTTGTTTATATATAGTAAAAATTTGTTGTATGTTTATATATATAAATTAATAAATACTAACTAGTTGTTGTACTGTTTTTGTGATAAACATATAAATACATATACATATATATTGGAAAATATTGTACAGCATTATAAAAACTAGCTTTTTTTGTTTCGTTTTGATAATATGGAATAATTGTAAGCTTACCTGGTGCCATAATGGGTTCACCAATGTTGACATAGAATAGAACATCCTTCTCATAGCTGCCTTCCTCAATAATGCCTATCGTTATGGTTTTTCTGGAAAGCAAGAAGAAAAAAAAATAAATAAATAAGTAAAAAAAATAATTAAAATAATTATTGAAGAAAAATGCAGATATACCAAAGTTTGGACTCATATTTATTGGCGTATAAATAATAAATATAAAAAAACAAATAACTGGGATTCATCGTGAATACTGTATAATTTGTTGTACTACAGTTCGGAATTCCAGCTCTATTCCTATATTTAATATCAAGTTTATTACCATTAAGTACTCTTCATACACATAAGCACTATGTTCCGAAATATCGTATTTCCATTACACACTTTAGTAAAAACGTTCAGGTTCCACATGTAATTCCATTTAGAACTTTTCGAACACATGAATATAAATTTTCAAAACCACCACTAAATTTAGTACTCATTAGTACCAAAAACCCTTGGTCTTTTTTTCTAACTCTCTGTCAGTGACGAACATTCTAAATTTTAGGTTTCCAGCTCTCTCCGTTACCCAATTCCAAATTGTTCAAAATTTAGTGAATTTTCTATTCTATTTACTACTGGTACACAAAACTCCGAGTTTCCAAAGTTGTCTCCATAGCTCAATACTACATCAATCCTACACTCTAAAAGTAATCTTACTTACTTACTCATAAGTTCAAATTTCCAAATGTACCTCAATACTTCCAGCTCTGTCTGTTCATTAATAACCAAATTATACCAGATTTGGTACCATTCTGTAATTTTCGTGCCCATATACCTCTCAATATTCCAAACATGCTTTCAATCGTACGTCCAAATTTAAGAATTTCAGATCTATCTGTTCACTAAATTATACATTTAAAGATTCTAGCTCTATCCGTTTACCAACAATTTTAGTACCATTTATTACTTTTCGTAGACGTAAATACGAGTTTCTAAAACTGCCTCAATTCCACACTGAAACAGTAATTTTAGTCATAAATTTCAGGATAACAGCCCTATCCGTTCACATAGATCCAACTTGTACCATATTTAGAACCATGTAGTACTTATGAGTTCGAATTTCCAACACTGTCTCAATTCTTTGCTATAAGAGTAATTTTATTTTCAAATCCATCCATCTCTATCCGTTCTCTCAAATCTAAATTGTACTAAACTTCGTACCAGTTATTACACATAATTACGCATTTTTAAAACTAACTCCAATTTTAGGATTCCAGCTCACACAAAACGAATTGTACCATTTTTAGTACCATTTTGTGCTTCTCGTATCCATAAGTACGAAATTCCAATACTATGCTTCCATATCTCAATTCTATATTCCAACATCAACCATTAGTCCAAATTTTAGGTTTCCAGCTCTTTCCGTTCAACCAAATCCAAATTGTACCAAATCTAGTGCCGTTTAGATACGAGTTTACAAACATGTATCTATAGCTCAATCTTCGACAGAAGTCTCAATTCCAAATTTCAGGTTTTCGGTTCTATCCTTCCAAATTGTACTAAATTTAGTACTATATAGTACCTTTCGTACCAAGAATTACGAATTTCATAATCTACCTCAGTCCTACACTCCAACAGTCATTTTAATTCCCAATTTGAAGACTCCAGCTTTATCTGTTCACCTAAATCCATCTTACACCAAATTTAGTACAATTTAGTACTTTTCGTACAAATAAGTACGATTTATTAAGGCTACCTCAATCCTGTACTCCAATAGTAGTCCTAATTCCCATTATCAGGATTCCATCTCAACACAATCAACTGAATGCAAATAAACCATTTCCGTGCATCAACACCACTTCTCAGCCTGTATTCCATTTAAAATCTTAAGATTCTAGCTATATATGTTCAATATATGTATATACAATTGGAACTAAATTTTAGTACTTTTAGTACACTTATAGGTCGAATTTCCAAAAACCATTTTGCACATCTTTCTAACTTTCCATCTGTGACCCACATTCCAAATATCAGAATTCTAGCTCTTCCCATTCGCCTAATACCAAGGGTACCATATTTGAATTTCCAAAAACCCAGCCTTATCTCACACCTACACACCAACAACAACTCACACTCAAAATTTCAAGCTTCTAGCTTCAGCCGTTTCGTCTGGGCGATGATCTGTCAGTCACTCACTCAGTTAACACTAAGCTCATATCGAAAAATAAAGTTTTGATTTGTTTACTACCTATAGCGAAAAAAGTACACATTAAGTCATTAAATAAAAAGAATAAATATTTTTCATATTCGTTTATCGTTGCCTATAATTTGAATGTATATTTTGTTTATAGAGTTTTGATTTATTCCCAAATCTATAGTGAAATTAGATATAAAATATTTTTTTCATTGACACCAACTTCGTAAAGTGTTGTTTTCGTGGAGATTTTAGCTAAGTTTCAAGAAGAATACAAATTTAACCAATGAATGCAAAAAATATATTTTGCTTATTATATTTTAAATTGTTGTTGTACTTTTGTGGATATGTTTGGATGTTTTTGTTGTTCTGGGAATTTCAGTAAAATGTGATGCTAAATATTTTCTCCATTGGTACCAACCTCCTAAAGTAATGGTCTATGGGTGATTTTGGACCATAATAAAATCATACAAAATTTATCATAAATTATTTTTTGGTTTGTAGATGAAAATTGATAATTCTTTTTGGAGGTGATATATTAATTTTGTATAATATTTATAATCTGGGACCTATACTAGAATATTATGTAAAATATTTTGTCAATTAATATCAAAATCCTAGGGTGGTGATTTATAGGAGATTTTGACCCATAACCGAAACAATGCAAAATCTTCCAAAATCAAGTTTTTTTTTTGGTTATATACTAAAATTAATACGGATTTTTCGTGGAGAACTATTAGTTCTATACAATACTTGCATTCAGTGACCTAGGGTAGAATTTAACACAATTCTACGAGAGGTACTAATTTAGACAGAAAATACCAAATATGTAATTTTCTTCTTATATTAAAATTTGTTGTTGTAATTTTGTGAATATATTTTTAATATAAAAGTTTTTGTTGTTCTGCGATTCATAATAAAATTCGATTTGGAATATTTTTTTCCATTGATACCAACCCCCTAAGGTAGTGTTTAATGGGAGATTTTGGCCCAAGCCGAAATTAATACAAAATCGGCCAACATATATTATTTTTATTTGTACGGTACAATATCGTTCAAAAGAAAACATAGTCGAGTTTCGTTACTGATATTTTAAAGATATATATATAATTTTTAGAGTCTTGATTTCTTCTTCGACCTATAGTGAAACCAACTTCGTAAAGTGAAGTTTTCTCGGAGAAGTAATCTGTTTTTATATTAAACTTGATACTGATTTTAGTTGATAATTATTAGCACTACAAAATATTTATATTTGGAGAGCATTTTTGAAATTTGATGTAGAGTAATTTTTCCTTTAATATAATGTTCGAAAAGTGGTGTTTTATGCGAGATTTGGCTCTCAACTGAATACAGTATAAATTAATCCAAATATTTTTTTTTGTTTCGGATCGGATCTTCGCAGGTAGCGTATTAGTTCTACACCATACTTATATGCAGTGATATATAGTAGATTTTTTTAAAGGAACGTTAATTGGGAAATTTTAGCTAATTATCGAATGCAAAATTAATTTTGTTGTTTTTTACCAAATGTTAAAGCATTTTTTCAAAGGAATATATGAATCCTAGAGTACATTTTTGTTACATGATCTACATGGATATTCGATGTCGAATATTTTCGCCCTTAACACTAGATTGCCAAAGACGGTCATTTTGACCGGTTTTCAATTTCAAGTACAAAAGCAACTGTGTATATAATGACCAGCTTTTTAAAATTTGTTGACTTTTTTTATAATAAACGTAATTCTATGTGGTACAAAAAGTCACCAAATTTAAAAAAAAATGTTATTATATGCACAGTTGTTTTTGTACTTGAAATTGAAAAGCGGTCAAAATGACCGCCTTCGGCAATCTAGTGTTAATATTTAAGCGACTATTTAAAGGGGTGTTAAAAGGGAGATTTTGAGTTTATTTTTTATAGCAAAATTGAAACTAACTTTTAGATGCTATATATTAATTTTGCATGCAATTTATTTGGGGAGATTTTTTAGGAAATTTATCGTAGAGTATAGTTTCCTTTAACTTGAAATTCCTAAAATGCTGTTTTTCCTGAATTCATATTGGATAGAAAAATTTCCTATCAAACAGTAGCAACATTGACCAGAGTTACTGGATATCCACCCTCCAATAATTCGATATTTTGGGTATTATTTTCATCGAATTGGCTTATATTTGATGTTTAAGATTCTCATTGGGTGTCAAATCTTCCTATCAAAAATTATCTCTATCTGACCTCGTTTTGATATAACATCAGTACTCCAAATTTTTTTGGTATTTTGCGGCGATATTAAATCCAAATTAAATCTAATAAATTTTATATTTTTATAAATTTTCACCCATCCCTTTGACAATTAATCTCATCAGGGTATTTAAAATTTCAACACAAGTGATTAATTGCTACATAATTAAAGTTCAAGATTTGTCAATGGCGTAAGCAATAAATTTACAAAAATTACCGCTCAAATATTATAATTTGACATATTCAATGATTAATAAATCAAACTGTTGAAATATATGATAATTACAATATTTTGACAAATTTTGGATTGAGGCGATATAATGAAGACACTTAAAGTGATTTATGAAGTGCAGGATAGAAATTTTAATTTTTCATTGGAAGAAAGGAGGCAAGGATTTAAAAAAAGACTTGGATTTATTTCCAACAACCAAAAGAAGCGTGCATTTTTAACAAATATTTTTCAAAATACCAAAAGTGGCGCGTATTAAAAAATATATTTTTTATAGTACCAATTATTTTTAAGAGACCAAGAGAGGTGTCGAATTTTTAAAAATTTAAATTTCTTTAAAGAATATTTTTTTCTAAGACACCAATAGAGGCGTGGATTTTTAAAAGAATATTTTTCTAAGAGACCAAAAGAGGCGTGGATTTTTAAAGAATATTCTTCTAACGGACGAAAAAAGGCGTGGTTTTTTAAAGAATATTTTCAAAGGACCAAAAGAGGCGTGGATTTTTAAAGAATATTTTTCTAACGGACCAAAAAAGGAGTGGATTTTTTAAGGAATATTTTTCTAAGACACCAAAAGAGGCGTGGATTTTTTAAAGAATATTTTTCCAAGGCACCAAAAGAAGAGTGGATTTTTTTTTAAATATTTTTCTAAGGCACCAAAAGAAGCGTGGATTGTTTAAAAAATATTTTTCTAAGGCACTAATAGAGGCGTGGATTGTTTAAAAAAATATTTTTCTAAGGCACCAATAGAGGCTTGGATTTTTTAAAGAATATTTTTCTAATGCACCAAAAGAGGCGTGGATTTTTTAAAGAATATTTTTCAAGGCACCAAAAGAAGCGTGGATTGTTTAAAAAATATTTTTCTACGGCACCAAAAGAAGCGTGGTTTGTTAAAAAAATATTTTTCTAAGGCACCAAAAGAGGCGTGGATTTTTTAAAGAATATTTTTCAAGGCACCAAAAGAAGCGTGGATTGTTTAAAAAATATTTTTCTAAGGCACCAAAGAATCTTTTTCTAAGAGACCAATAGAGGCGTGGATTTTTTAAAGAATCTTTTTCTAAGAGACCAAAAGAGGCGTGGATTTTTTAAAAATATTTTTTCAAGCATCCCACAAAGGCGTGGATCCAAAGAGGCGTGGATTTTTTTTAAGAATATTTGCTCGAAGGACCATTTTTGTAATTTTAATACCCAAAATTGTTCCCAATTGAATTTCATTACATCAACCAACGTATGTATATGTGTATGCATGTTTATTCACTTCATTATGTTGATGGTATTAATTTCATTAATAGGAAATCATGTTCGATATGCTAAAGTGAATTTAACCTCAGGATATATACATACATATGTGTGTGTGTGCATGTAATGATTTACCAAAATGGTTTAATGATACACAACATCATGCGGATACGGATATAAATATGGATGTGGTCACAGATGTTGTTGAACTTTCAATGTGTTGGCGATGTTTATGTGTGTGGCCTCAACAACAGGATAATCAAAAGGATTCGTACATAAATTGATAAATTTATGTATTTAACATATTCTGTCCGAATATGAGCTAGCCATGTTGTTGTGGTTTGTTCCAAAAAATGAAAATGGGCAAATATGAAAACAAATCTAAAAACTTAAATTTTTTGCAATTTAACTTTATAAAGCCTGGTGGAGGCTGGTTATGAGTTTGCAGATGACATTGATAAGGGTTGACAGAAATTTTGGGGCATAAACTTTTACAATTTATGTGAAAGGGATTATAACGGTGGGGACTAATGGATGTAGGTAGTTAACAAGGTTGGGTAAAATATGCTGGAAAATAAATAGCAAAGAGGTCGTCTATCACCATGATTATATTGATATGTCATTGGGAGCCTTTTTTTTCGATAATGGAACCATATTTATTACTTCGCTTAGAATTATGAAATATCACTAAAAAATTTAAATACTTGAAGTAATATTTCTCATTTGGAAAATTTAATAAATTGTAATCGCATATCCGTATTATTATTTTATTCTGAAATTTATTTGTCTCATTTCATATTCAATAACAAATTGTCGAGAACACTTAAGATGCTGGCTATTGTCGACGAAATTTTATTCTAGTCATAAATTTGAAGTCTATGACTCTTCAAGTATTCTCGATAAGAACAAATACGAAACACACACACACAATTCACAATTAATTTATTCACAGACAAAACAAAAATCCAATACAATACGTCTCTTGATTTTCTCAATCAGAATGTATGTATTTCAAATTAGGACACGGCGGAACAACAAAGGAGGCGTGGATTTTTTTAAAGAATATTTTTTCAGTCAACCAAAAGAGGCGTGGATTTTTAAAAGAATATTTTTTCATACACCAAAAGAGGCGTGGATTTTTAAAGAATATTTTTTCAGTCAACCAAAAGAGGCGTGGATTTTTTAAAGAATATTTTTTCAGTCAACCAAAAGAGGCGTGGATTTTTTAAAGAATTTTTTTTCAGTCAACCAAAAGAGGCGTGGATTTTTTAAAGAATATTTTTCTCAGTCGACCAAAAGAGGCGTGGATTTTTTTTAA